TTGGGCATGTACTTCTGACTTCTGACATGCGCTCTCAGATCAAAAAACGGCATGTGTTTTGAAACGTGCTGTGACAATTGGTCTGACTTCGGTTCTGACATGTGTTCTGACGTTTCTTTCTATCATCTATTCTGACACGTTTTTGTTGCCGTCAAGTCTGCCATGTTTGTCGACATATTTTCTTGCGTATGTTCGGTCATGTTTCTTATCCGCCGACCCCTGCCCAGAGAATCCCCAGAAGTGAGGCTCGGCAAAGGGAGCTTGGAAGTAGGCCTGTCTTGCTGCCAGTAGATCATTGAACGAAACATTCGATGCGACTGCGCAACGAGCCCGTGGACTTTTGGGTTTCCACGGTGATGTAGACAGCGTCCACGCAGGCGAAAGCACCACCCGAGATAGAGGCGTTGCTTTCGGGGTAGTCTGTGTGTGTTGGGTTTCGTCGAAGTGAGGGCAATGTGCGCAGCAGTGGAGACGGAAGACGTGCTGCAGCAGCAGGTGGAACTAGGTATGAAAACCGTCGACGGAGGCCAGAGGGTCCCTGGCTAGGATCTCTCGAGGTGGACAAAGTTTATGTTGTTGTTCAATGAGGGATGCTTGCGGTCGCCCGACATCCACTCCATCCAAGGCGCCACGCCTGTCCGTGAAAACGCTAGCAGTAGCCGTCTTGAGCTCACAACAAATGCCAAAGAAATGATCCCTTGTTGTCTGGTATCCTGAGACTTGCAGCCAAGCCCTAGCTTTGAATCGTGGCTACGACCGGCCGGCAAGCCCTAGGCCCTAGCCTTGTATCGGAGCACAACACGTCAACAAAGCTTCGATCCGTGAGTAACGCTGGCCTGCCGATGCTCTCTGCCCATCTTCACTGTGGCGCTCACTGTTCGCATGCGCCATGGACAGGCGACAGTGCACACGACTCCTCTATAAGCATCTGCTAAAGATTCCAACTCCGTTGCCCTACCACTTGCTCTCTCGATGCGGATCCATCTTCAGTCCCTTTGTGTGCTCCGGAGGTCGACAGAACAGGTGTCAGCCCTGAAATGTAGGTCCCTGCCGCAGGCCTTGCACCGATAGGCCTATACCTTCGGTATATACCTTAGGTAAAACGCTGCGCGCCCCCTGCCGCGGACCATGCGAACCTGGTCTGTGAGTCTGTGCTTTACGTTGTTTCTTGCGCATCGACAACAGTGAATCAGCATCGAACTCGCGGCCCGATCATCTCACATTTTTCGGCCCTGGATTCACCGGTCGTTTCATAATCAAAAGCTAGTATCAGCCTTGGCCTCACAAGCTACTGTGAGCTGCTTCCAGAGGTCGGTTTTCGATGCTTGCGACGTTCAAGAAAATAGAAACATCACAGATTACCGTGCTTCTTCTATTGTTGAATGAAAGTACCACAAGACCGTGTAAATATCAACATATTTGGCAGCTAACATATATAAGAAGCATGAAGAAACACTGTACACTGTAAACACACTTGTGTTTGCATCCCTGCTTGACAAGGATCAACAATATCGATGCTTACTGTGTTTTTGGATCCCTATAGTGCAAAAACAACCAGCAAATACTGTGTCTTTGTTGCTTGCCAAGGATCAAAAACCTCAACATTCGGCTGAAAGGGATCATCGTAAGACCAATGACCAACAACAGTGACAGTGGCAACAACAACAACAGCAGCAACAACAACAACAACAACCCTTATGGTATCGCCGGTGTGTAAAGCTCTACAATGTGTTCTGACATGTGTTTAGGCAAGCATTCTCACACTGTTTTCTGGCATCATGTCGTTTAAAGTGTTCTGACATCTGTTCTGATGTGTTCTGTGTTCTGGCATGTATTCTGATCTGTTCTAACATTTGCGCTAGCATCATCCAGGGCGCACCACTCACCACACCGGAGCCGCCATAAGTTTCGAGGGCAGCACACCGAAGGGAGACCCAAGAGAGAGCGGAGGCGGAGAAGGCGGAAACACTGGCATAAAATCTAGAGACCCTCGCCTACGAAGACCATCCAACCATCCAACACCTCAACCGGGCTCGACCCAGGCCCTTGGCCCTTCAATCTTCCGCCACGCGCGCGCGCCGCGCGCCATACGCGCGAGAAAAAAGCGCCTGAGCCTTGGATCCATGCGTCTGGTCCAAACGCTGCAGATGCGCATGAATCTTCTCAGAGCTCTGCTGGGAGGCCTGGAGACTTGTCTGCTCCGTTCCAAGTGGTCGCAGCACTTCCGGCTCAAGGTGGTGAACTGGTCTTCACCATCCTGACCTTTGGATATAAATCCCATAAGTCTCGATCCTGATCAATACAAGCTGCCCATCCAACCGACCCTTCAAGCACCTTTCCAACTCCCGGAGTTCATCGGAGTTCCACAGTTCTCCGTCTTCCCACTCTTTCATCCGGCCTTCCGGTGGCCCAGGAGCTCCTCCTTAAGCTCCTGGCGAGAGGAGGGCCGACCCACTCCAATGCCGCACAAAAGCTGGGACTTCCACAAGGTAGACACTTGGCGTCACCCAGGAAAATCATACCGTTTAGCTCTCACACATTGAAGAAGCTGCTGATTTGACCACCCTCACCAGGAAACTGAACCACTTCCACCTCGGAAGTCCTCTCCCTCCACCTCATCCACCTCATCCCAGCTGCAACCACCCACCACCCACCACCCATCACCGCAGCCCTCGCCCTCGCCCTTCCGCTCCTCGACTTTGAGCCGTTGGCTTCGCAGCTGCTCCAGGCGCTGCTCCCGCTCCTCAGCGAGCCTCGCAGAGACCTCCAGCCTCGGTGCAGGAGGCGCGGGCGCACCGCGGTGGGCGTGTTCTCCCCAGCAGCACTGGAGGAACAAAAAGAGCTCAGCTGCTGTTGGTGTTTAACATTGAAGTGTTCAGTCTGTTCAGTACTCCCAGGGTGAGTGGGTTTTTGTGGGAAATTTGGTGCACTTCAGCCCAGTGCCCACCAACACGTTGATATTGAAAAGGATGCTTACAGTGTTGCCAACTAGTCTTGTAGAGACAGAACAGAACAAGCGGGGCCTTGAAGATTGAGATCTGGTTGGATGTTCAATTCAAGTCTTGAGTCTTGAAGGAAATGGATGTGCCATTGTCAAAGGATTCTGATCATCCTTCAGATCCGCAAAGGTCCCAGAAAGTAAGCATGCCATATACCCACCATACCGCCCGCTCGTAGCGGACCCAAAACTGATGAAGCCACACTGATCGTTGCCGCGTCGCACTCTCTCCTGAAGTTTCCGCTCTTCTTCCTCTCGACTCTGGCGGTGCTCGCGAATGGCTCGGGCCACATCCTCCTCCATGGCCCGGCGGTCACGGCCTTGATCCGAGCTGGGAGTCTTGGAGAACCCAAGTTGAGGCCCGAACACCTTTTTGGACTGCTCAGTCTAGACCGATCCTTCTTCCCACCTTCCCACCTTCCCACCTTCTCACCTTCCCTCCGTGAAGGGCCCTGAGGAGCGCGCCGGTGGCTTCCTCTCGCACCTCCGCCGTCCGTCGGACGCCGTCCGTCGGACGCCGCGGTCGCCCGGTCGCGGTCGCCCCCGCGGTCGCGCCTGGACCTCTGTGGCGAGCTCCGCCGTGAGATGCTTCACCGCGGCCTGGAGGCACAGCCAGGACTGGCTGGGGCAAAGAAGGCAGTTCCTTTGTTTTTCTGGTGGAAGAGTTTTGCATTTAAGCCAAGAACCTGAAACTGGGACATGTCAGAATCACTACGAATCAATGAAAAACCATGCCTTTTTGCTGCAGAAACGCCTCTTTCGTAGGAAATTAGACTGTCGGTTGGCGCGCCTCACGCTGCTGGGTCTCTCCACCGATGAGGCTGCGCAGATCTCGGACCTCGAGGCAGAGCCGAGTGGTCGGGAAGATGGGTGGGGCTGTACGTCACGTACGTCTCCAAGCGCCAACCTAGCGCCAGCGCTGCCTTGCTGTATCACCATAGTCTGCTGGGGGCCATGCTTCTGAACAAGGACTTATATAAAAGCACGTCTCCAACCTTTAAAGTTTACGTTTATTATCTATATGTTTTTAGTAGGGCTTTTTGAGCGCAGTCCATATGTACTTTTTTGAATGGTTGTTGGGGTAGCCGCAATGATAGCTCTCTCTGCAATTTGCTTTCATTTGCGTTTGTGTTGCTTTCATGTTGCTTTCATTTGCACTATTTTTGTTTTGTGGATTGTTATCTTTAGCAAAATTTCTTAAATAGGGGTCCTGTCCTGACCACTATTATGCCTCCAAAACCCTCATTTGGGGAGCAATTTAAATCCAATTTGATCTGCACGTTAAAAAAATATTGAATGTTATAAGTTATAATTAAGAATGACCTGCTAAATACGAATTAAACATTTCCGGACCGGAATACCAATCATCAGATTCCACCCGATCCTGCGGTATCTCTATGGGTGTCTCTATTTTGAGGGTCAACTCAAAGGCTTGGATGGTCATGTCATGTCATGTCCAAGCACTACAGCCCAAACCTATGAAAAAAAAAGCAAAGTTCTTTTTGTGATCTAAGTTTAGATGTGTGATGTTTCAGCGCAGCTCAAGCAAAGAAGTCTCTGGGTCACTGGCAACAATATCCACAGCCTCCAGAGATTTGTTGTATTGAAAGTGAGGAACAGTGTCAGAATGTTGTAATGCTTAGCCTCTTAGTCCCTGTTGGCAGGTAAACCATGCAGCTTGATTCTGGTCTGCTTCCGTTAATGTGTGAGTCTGGGGGACAATTGAAGAGCTTCTGGTCTCATCCAGCTTTCTTAATGAGACCGACTCAACTTACGCCTCCAGCTTTGATTGCCTTGCCGTAGATTCTCTGGAGATCCTGGGTGCAAGTAACTCATGCGAATCAGGTGTCATGGCGCGCGCGAAAAAAGAGTGAAAGAACTGTGCCAGCTTTGTGCCATGAAGACATCATCTCTCCTTGCAACACACACTTCGATTTGTATGCAGCGTTGCACGCCTGTTGCACTCTACAAATACAGTAGCACAACTCCTTCCGACATCCAAAAATCGAAACAACGAGTGCTCGGCAGGGATCGCAGTTGATCTGTAGCCTCTTGGCCCCTTTGCCGCGTCTCCTGAGGCACCGGTCGAGACCGGGCGACTGGAGAACCGCTGAGTCACGAAGAACGACTGACTGAAACCAGGTGTACCATGTCCATCCATGTCCTGAATCAGACCCCAAAAAGTCCCCAGTACATATCAAATTTCAGGGTCTTTGGGTCTTTTGACTGTTCCAGCGATTTGGGGATCGCTCGACTTCTTATGAAGAGCAGTCAGGTCTGAAACACTCACGCACCTTAGCCTTAGCCTCTGCAAGTGCGCACCTGCTACCGGCTGCCCGGTCCGCGGCGCAGCACCCGCGCGGGAAAAGGGCCGGGCCTCGCAGGACTGCTTCAAGCTCCGAGCGGCCTTGGTGAACCAAGGGATGGTACTGATGATACCGTCACCAACTCTCTGGAGACAACGGAGCTTGGCTCGGTTTTGCAGCGGTCGCTGGCGTTCAAACGAAGGATGGCGGAACCAGCCAGGAGGGTCCTTCCTTAACGGAGGGTCCTTTCGCTTTTCCGTGGGTCCCAGGCCTCGTGCATGGATTCCAACGCACCACTGAGCCGCTCGTTCTCTTGCGTGCGGGTATCTTCCTCTTCGGCCTGTGGAGAAAGGGAGGTTTCTCTTTCGAGCCGTCTCTTCTACCAAACTTGCTTTGGGGGGATACTCTGCTTATCTCTGCTTCCAGCGGTAAAGCCTGCATTCTTTGGAGCTTGGCCAGGGAGGCGCTGACGTCACGCAACAGCCTCTCAGTGTCGGTTCTGTGGAGATCACCATATCAAAGCAAATCAAAGTCACATGGAGCTGAGAGGCTGAGAAGGCGTGAGAATGCTCGGTTGGAACAGGTGCAAAGAGTACTGCATGACTCAAGTCCGCATGCGTCCACATGCCTCGAACGGTCTTCTCTCTCTTGCTGCAGCTCGCTTGACAGCTGGTGGAGTTTGGTTGCCTCGGAAAGGATAATGGGTGTGTATCAAAAAAATAGGGAGACCTTCCAAAGACCCCCTGGAAGATGGGAAATAGACCAGTCTACCCATCGGTTGGAGGTCTCTGTCAACATACACGCCCGCATATGGCAGTATACTCTCGCCAGGCACAAAAGTTAACAGTTGTTCTTCTCAGAAACATGAGTCAATGGGGCTTTCGCTCCAGGGCCTGGCCTCGGCTCAAGGTCCTGTCTCCCCCACGAACCACGAAACGTTCTGGCATTGGGGTGAAGACAGCAGCCGTGCTACCAGCCGCCGGTCATGGCCGGAACAGCGGAAAACCTGACCCCAACGAGCTTTTGGTCTCCATGTCCGTGTCGTGGCACCAGGGCTCCGGCCGTACTTCGAAGCATCTCCTCACGCGTAGCACCTTCGGTCTTGAGGTTCTTCTGCAGGTGCGCTACAGCCTGGCAGCTTTTCCACTTGACCCAGAAAAGTGGTTGGGAAAGCTGTCAGGATCTCAACAAAAAGTTGGAACCTCCTCCAAACCAGCATTTCATCGACCACTGACCACTCGTTGCGGCAAATCTAGATCAGTCTTAGTGTGGCAAATGGCCGCAATGCTGCCCAACTGCATACTACCCACAAAGCCACACAATGCATAAACTTTATAAACTACATTGGAGATGAGATTGCTGCTGACAGTTTAGCAAAGCCCCAGCTTAACTCAGGCCAGAACAAACCTGGTCCACCCCAGTGCCCAAGTGCTCCAAACATAGCACCCAATCGGTTTGGATCACTTGATAAGTCCATCCAAAGCTGCGTCACCGAGACTTCTCAGTCCGCTCTAAGTCAGGCAACGCCCCCGCCTGCGCCACCGAAGCCTCGCGTGCTTTGGCCTCTTTGTGCAGCGCGTCTTCCAGAAGCGCCGCCTCGTCTTGTAGACCGACCATTCTCGGCCGACCCCCAAAATCAGTGGCCCAAAAACAGTTGTACAATTACTTACAGTAATTAGGAGCAAGGACGCTACGTTCGGGGCTCCTGGCCTCGCTCCTAGGAGCAAGAAGCTAATAGGAACAAAGGGCATCGCTAGTAGGAAATTGAGAAGACGCGATCTCTCAAAGTCTCTGAAGCACCGAGCTCGCCGTAGAAAGCATGTTCCCTACACGATGTTCCCTTGGATCGACCCAGGACGCCGCTTCCTTTGACGAAAGACGGTCTAGAGACATCCAACGGGCAAAGTTCGGTCCTGTAGCCATTCCAAGTACCACATCAACGACTTCAAATGCACGCTGTCTTCGTTCAAAAGAGTCTGAATGCATCTAAATGCTACCTGTTTCCACGCCGGTTGTGTCTGCGTGTGGTTTCAAGCCTGTTCAGCCATGCTCTGAGTGATGTTTGCAATCGCCTCCTCTCGAATGGCCTGCCAGTATAACACTAGTTCCCAACCATTTCAGCAAGGAAACAAACCAAACCCATCCAACAACATCTGCCAACGGTTAAATTGGTTGAAACTGAATCAATCCTCTTCACGAAGCCAACGCCTTGCCTTTTCCTCCTGCAGTTTGCCCAGCACACAGCTCACCTCCCGTAGCACCCGCCGCTGTTCCTCCTCACGGGCGGCCACCTGGCAGTGAATCCGTTCGCTTCCGAACGAAGAATGTAGGATCTTGATTCATCAACCCCCCAAGGGATGGCGTAGAAGCGAGTGGATCTCGTGAGTGCGTGCATCCAAATGGGGGGGGTGATTAATTAATCAAGATCCTACGTTGTGCGGGTATCTCCAAACGCAATGGTCTCTTGTAGTATAGGTGTTTGGTGGCTCCAACAACTTGGAATGCGCAAGCGTTTCTGCGTAAGTTCGCATCTTCTGCTGGGGTCGTTCAAAGTCACACGATGAATCCCAGACCTGAAATGATGATAAACTCAATGATAAACCAATTTATATGACGGCTCGCAGCAGCTGAGTCATATCCATTCTCTCCGTTCCAAATCACCGCCGGCCTCATCACCCACCGATGCTTCCAGGTGCTGCAGCCTTCCGCACCAATCCGCCCCGTGGTGCCGACGTTGGGCAAGGTTCCACCGGAAGAAACCATGCCGTTGGTGGGAAGACAAAAAATCTGGAGAAAAAAAAGAAGTGGTACGAATGTGTGAAATCATGAAATCTTCAACAACATGAAACGAAAAGAATCATCGGACATGGAGTTTCTCGACGAAACACGTTCCTCCATGGTCCTTCCTCTCCCCCCCTCCTTGTTGCAACCCAAAAATGTCGACACACTGACAGGATCGTCACTTGCTTTCAGCATCCTGATTAAAGTCAGCAAGGACATCACTGAGTCTCTTCAGAAAAGCCCAGTCTCAGTGGTGCAGGCCTGGCTACGACGCCCTCGAAGGCATTGCGGCGCTCACTGCCCGCAGCTGCCAAGGCACTCCGCAGCTCGTCCAGGCCCTGTGCAGCTCGAGCTCCGCGTCGAAGTGCGACAGCGCGATTTCAGCTTTAGCGATTCCCAGGGTGAATCATCGGCATGTCCTTCACTGCTGGGATTCCCAGCTGTCGGATGATATTGTTTACTGTGTCTCTTCAAGAAACTCAAAATCCAGGTCTCTCCTACACAGCTCTGTATCTGTGCTGGCTTTCCTTTCATTCAAAAAAATGATCCCATTGACGGCTTTGGGGCAGATTCTTTGAACGCTTTTGGCCCCGGAGGCCTCTTCCCCGCCTCTTCCAGCCCGAGCTGCTTGGCCTTGGAACTCCGCAGCTCCTCTCGCTGGGCCTAGGGATGGATGGAGGGGTTCACTGAACGGAGGTGTTTCGTGCTTCGAAGGTGTAGAGACTGCACCCTGGTTTGGCGTTCTGGAAGAAGACAGAAGACCCCCCCTTTTAGAGACAAGACATATATGATGCATATGATATATGATATATGATAGGCTCAGACAAAGGGATGCTTGGGAAGCCTGGATGCAACACAACCCATAGCTAAGCATTAGAGGGACACAGAGAGAGAGAGAGAGAGACAGACACACACAAGTGTCGACTTTCGGCAGGCTTCCAAGCTTCTATTATATTATATAATCGATGATATCATGTGATATCTGTAAAAAAAACTCAACCCTCAAACGGATCAGTCCGTTGGCATGACTTGGCCCATATGATCTTCAAGCAACCCCTCAAGATGGACCCCAAGATGACGTTTCTCTGCAAAACATTTTCTCAAGATGGTCTCTGCGGAGTCCATCTTCATGTTTGCTAACTATATAGCAAGTTTGTTTCGAACTCTGGCTTGGTCCAGCAAGTCCTGCCTCAGCCGCTTCTCTGACACCATCGGCCAGTTCTGCCTTCGCAAGACACCAATTTCATGGAGACAGACAGCTGGTGACCCAACTGCGACTTTCTGCATCCCTTCGGATCTCAAAATTCTTGGGGCTCTCCACCAAACAGTTCCACATGCAGGCTGAGACGAAGGGTTGTCTCTCAGGTTCAGACCAACCCAAAAAAAGGCCAACATAATGTACAAAAACCCTGCACATCAGCACATCCGTTCTCGTGCCTCCCGCTTCTCACAGCGCAACTTCATCTCATCAAAAGCCTCTTGAATTGGCCATTGGCTGAGAGATCAAAGAGGATCAGCAGCTTGGATGAGTGTTATTACCCCCCTCGCCATTGTGCGCACCACCTGTGCTTCCACTGAATGGATGAACACGAAGCCGAAGAACTAAAGCCGGGCCTCTCGAGAGTGAGAAAGATGTTGCTCCAGTCGGCTCCTCAGCACGGACTCCCCGCTCTGCCATTCTCAATCCAACTCTGTGCAGGAACCCGCTCATTCTCCTACGAACAAGCACTGGACACTGCGACAAGGTTCCAAACATCTGAGGCGTCGCAGGTCGATACATTTCAACCCGAAACCACAACGCTACACTTCTGCATGTTCTTCCTGCTCCTCAACCACGGCCTAGCGCTGCTAAACGCAAGCTTGCGTGGAGCCGGTCGTGCCGTGCCGCTGGGGTCTCGGACCGCAGCTCTTCGCGTTCTTGGGCTTCGTCTCTCAACGCTCCACGCAACTCCTCCAAGACCTTCGCGGCCGCCCGCTGGCTGCTCTTGCTGGCCTCGAGACGTCGCTGGGTCGGTGCGCGGGGCTAGACTGCCACTGTTGGTGGAAGGACAATGGGCCAATGGGTATGCTAGTTTGACCACAAAGAGCCAAGCCTCCTAAAAAGATTGAGAGACTCAAGCTGACTTCCACTCGTTTTCAACTATATATTTGCTCTTATCCCCCTTGTTGCAGCTAGAAGGCTGCGCTCATGAACTCCTCCTTCAGCATCACATCTTGCTTCAGCTCCTGCGCTTTCCAGTACAGCTCATCATGTTCACTCCTTGAGGATGGTCTTCCAGTCATGTTTGATCTTTTTGGGGCTGTGTAGGGTCCAGCGTGCTTGCAGTCTTGTTCTTGAGGATCTTTTCACCACTTCCTCCTTTCGCTTCCATCACTCCGCATGCACCCAGGTTCCTTCTGCAACTGCTCACATGCCACCTGTCTAGCCGAAGCCTCTGCTGAAACTGAAGAGCCTGGCGCGAAAACAAGAACGGGGTAATCCTACTGTTGGCATGCAGTCTAGGCTCAAGGTTTGGTGCTGGGTCCAAGCACCATGCAGTAATCAAGTTGAAAACATGCACAAAGGCCACTGCATGTCCGACTCGGTTCCTTCAATGTAGACTTGTTTGGTCGGTTAGGCCAACACTATTTCGCCCAACAGCAACATTCCTTCCCCACCGCAGTCTCCTGTTTATTTCACTTCCGGCGTTTTCCGCTGAGCCACCCCGCGCAGGTCAGCCACCGAGGCCTTGATCTCACTATCCTCACAAATGAACACCCTACAGGAGTTTGCCCTGCCCATGAAACAAAGCAAAGCTGTTTGCTGTGAATGTTCGGGATATTTCGTCACTCCCAACCCTTGAGCGCCACCAAAACAAGTCGGGCGTAGCAACTACGTAGTCACACAAAGCACACAAGAGCCTTGTTGGAGGCACCCTTGGGTGGGAAGAAGGATTGGTCTCAATCGGATCCAATGAGCTCAGCTTCCGCAGAACTGTGCAAATCTGTTGGACGTCTCTTCTACTCACCTCCTTCCTACATAATCCGTCAATACTCATGGAAAGCCTGCAGCTCTCTCGGACCTGTATCACCCAAAACTGCTTCAGGGACGTGCACTGACTTCGACAGACGAATTTCACCCCAAAACGAGCCCAAATGGTCTGCCACATGCTCGCTCTGGTCAGTATGATCATTACGGTCATTGTCTCCTGCTTCAGCAGCATCTCTTGTGCCTTGCAAAAAAAGGCTGGTTGCTGCAAGTAACTCACGCCGAGGCTTCAAAAAGAGCAACCAGCTGGCGGTTGCACTGACAAACAGTTCTCCTTTTACGGCAAAAAAGAAAAACCTCCTCTCAAGCCAGGTTTTTCAGTGAGAAGACTCCTGGCGAGGAACATCCTCCTCCGGCACTCCGGCACTCGAGCACCGCACCGCAACTCCATGGCGGAAACGACGGTCGCGAACCCCGTCGCATCCGCCTGGTCCAGACGCTTCAGAGTCAACGAGATCTGCTCGCGAAGGCCTGGTCAGCTGGAGCCTACGGTGGGTTTGGGAGGGTTCCGAGACGGTCTTAGGTAGCGGCAACACCAAGCCTGCAATGAAGTAATGGAATACACCAGTTGATTACCAAATGTACCATAGTGGTCATCAACACCACCTGGCCTGAGACGGAGGTTCAGCCTTTGGGAAGAACACCCTCCACCTACATGTCCTTCGCTTCTCGAAATCGGCGAAGGTGGTCGATCTGGTCCTACGGTGCCACGTTCACCTCTGGGCGACTCCAGGCCACACCGGCGCCTTCTTCCGCCTGCCGTCTCAGCTGGACCACACCGCTGGCCTGAGGCGAGTGCCACCAAGGCGCCAAAGCCGAGGGCCGGTATGGTCTACCTACTAGTAAGGCACCTTGCTACTAGTAGCTTCTTGCTACTAGTAGCTACTGTAGATGCCCTGAGTGGCTATGACGCAGGATCCAGGTTCAATCTCCGGGTGCAACACGGACCGGCGGACAGGTGGCCCACTATGTGGACCACTACGCCAGCCCTGCAGTCTTTGGGGATGAGCTAGGGTTTTTGGGAGTCTTTGCCACTAACTCGGTCTTTGTTTTGGAGCTGTAGCATGTCTGTAGCTTGTTATGGTGATAGACCAAATCCGGTACCATCACACCCTCTTTTTTTGGTTTGGGGGTACCAATCAGGCACCCAAAGTGGAGAAACTTGTGTATTTCACACCTTCTTTGGGATGACTCAATATGCTGATCCCTATTGTGGTCTTTCCTCCTTTCGGATCCTTTCGGTCTGTCTTGCGGATACCAACTGCCTCATCTTCCAGTCTCTTCACATCATTTTGAAGAGCCTGCGTGGCTTCTACTGCGACGCTCCAAAGCAAGCTTCCTCAGGCTGCGTTTATTGTCGGTTTTGTCATCAAACATGAAACATTGTTCGTTTGAACAATCAGTACCTAGACCTAGACCTAGACTGTCCATTTTCCCATGCTTCTGGAGACACCTCTCCAAGCCAAACCAAGAACCGCAAGCAGCACCTTCTGGTCCTTCAGCCTTTCGCGGGTCTCCTCTGCCAGGGCTTCAGCCACCTGGCGGCACTTTGGCCAACGTCACACCACGCACCAACTTTGGCCGAGCTTGGGATGAATAGTAACTACTGTCAGTTCAGGGAGATAAACTTCATTCCCCCAAAGTCAGAGGCCCCAGTTCTCCAGCAAAAGCCAGCACCCAAGTTCTCAGGTTTGGGGGTTGTCCCAAACGACCCCAGGTTCCAGGCATTTCCAACTCCATGGAAATCCATTCTTTTTGCGTCCGTGAAATACCACGTCCACCTTGGAGACTTCCAGCGCAACGTTGCTGTGCTGCTCCAGGCCTCGACTGCACGAAGCGAGGAAGAACGACCAAAGTAAAACGAAGACTTTCAACTGTGGACTGTCCCCTTCTGGCTTTTTTGTTTTGTTCAAATGAAGAATATATATTATATATTATACGTATACCAAGCCCTTCAAAGTGGCCTCATTTAGAGGTCACTTAGGCATTCATAACTCAAAGGGTCACTTAGGGCATATCGAGGGGCTATATCGAGGCTAAGTGACCCTTTGATATATAATTACATATATATGTGTGTTTGATAAAACCATTTCCCCACCAACCTCTGAAGCGCAAGCAAAAAAGGAAACACACTTACAGGCCCTCTCAGAGTCACCAGTAGCCACCTCAAACAAAACGTAGAGCGCATATATGCCGCTAACATCACAGAAAAGGCATTGTGTGGTTCCAGAAGCACTGGCATTGTTTTGCTTGCTTCTAGCTTGTGCCGGTGACGGGTCTTTTGCATTCCTGCTTGTCTTTTGGCTTATGTCCTGGCTTTGTAACCTCTGCTGGCTTGCAGTGCATAGTTCTTGGTCTTGCTTGGGCTTGCCGCCATGCTGCTTCAAATACCCCAAACAATCAAATCAAACGTTGCAAGAGCAACAAACTCAATAACAGTGAACCAAAGCAACTCCCAGCAAAGGCATCGCCTCATCATACGAATTGCACTGTTGTATCAGGTTTTGCCCCATGTGTGTGCTCTAAACCAATATGTCACGTGTCATGGGAAGGAGTCTTGTGAACATTTTTCACAAACGCACCTCACACGGCCAACAGAAGGGAAGATGACACACTCACGAGTCACCTTTCAGCACCAGCGTGTACGTATGAGTTGTGCTAAAGCATGTAAATCAATAAAACTATCGGATTGCTTTGGTGAAACAAACATAAGGCACAACAAACCCAACAGTTCAGGATTGATTATCATTGAATTGTCAGAGTGGCACCTGGTGACTGAGAGTCCTATTTACATATTCCCCCAACACACTACACACTTAAAATTGTTCTTAACAAGTATGTGTTTGTCACATCCACATACACATTGCTGATTTCAAAGAAAAACATGCCTCTTAAAAGACATAAAGGCCATGAATTCCAGTGGCTGGCCCTCTGGAGGATCAAACTTGATGCATTGCTTGCACCAGCACGTGCGTTATTTGGGTGTCAGCGGAAAGATTGATTCACCAAGCCAAAGACGGAGTATTTGTCTAACACATTATATAGCAATATAGCTCAAACCGAACATCAGTGCAAGCATACCGCCATACCGCACAAATAGCAAGACCTGCCAGGGTCAAAATATACAAAGACAGAAACTGTCAGAACATTGTAAAGCAAACCAAAGAAGTCACAACTTCCAGTAAGTTGGCAGTACTCTCAACACGGCGACAACCATCCATCACCAAACTGTGCACAAACATGCAATATACTCGAGTCGTATGGTGCGCCAAATGGGGACAATTAGTGAACAATTGCAGCAAACTGCAAAAGAGTGAATGCTACTGAAACGCCGGTCCCTGCTTGCAAAAAAGAACTATGAATGACGCGCCAAACCGGATAGTGCATGTCAAGTTTCGCACGCGAATATATGATGCATGAAATATGCTTCAACAACCCCTTGCAAAAATGCGTAGGAAATCCAATAGCACGTTTTAGTTTCCATGCAGTGTGCATGAACAGAAAAACACAGCTTCCACGAGGCCTTTGGGCCAACAATTTGAGTGACAAGAGAAAAGCTGCCAAAAGCGAGCCATTCAAGACCGGGATAAATCTAGTGAAATCTGTTTGTTTGTCGTTTTAACAAAGTCTGCGTGTCAGAGCGTGCCATTTGCGTGCCACCTTCAAATTAGGGAGTTCAATATCGAGAGGCTCATTCATATATCAAAAGGCCACTTAGACATATCAAAGGGTCACTTGCCCTTATCAAAGGGTCACTTAGACACATCAAAGGGTCACTTGGCATATCGAAGCATTTGCGTGCCATTGCGTGCCAGCTGGGTCTTTTGCGTGCCATTGCGTGCCAGATGGACAATCGTTTCTCATTAGTGATATGTTTTTTTGTTCGAAATGTGTTTACAGTATTTTTATGGCTCAGACGCTTGCTCGGCACCACTTTGATAGAGGATTACAATCGCTCGCCCGCAAAGGGTAACACCCCAACATAAGTCCAAAGTTCAAGCCTACAAAAACAACAAGCAAGACTGGCAAGACTTCAACAAAACTTGGAAATTGCAAGACTGAATCTTGGCTCTTCTGGGAAGAGACCCATGATGTTACTCAAAACCAAACAGATTATACTTGTTTTGCAACTTCTCACCTATCCATGCTGCAGCAAAGTAATGAGCAAAGTTCTATTTTGTCCCTGTGCCTTGTCCGGCGGCAGGTTGCCATATTGCAGTTGCACCAAAAAGTAGCCTTTGCTTCCATGTGCTTTTCCTCGTTCAGCGAATCTTACTTGATTAATTTATCGAGCTTCCTAGCAGTGGGTGCAACATGCTGTATCACTTGTTGCCGTATTGCAGTATAGAATGCTGCGATTTAAGCGTGAACTTGTTTGAAGGGATTGTTTGGGCTTTGCAGATGGTCAACTTCGAATTCCTTGTTCAGAAGTGTTTGTGGTGCATATGGTGGAGAAACATGCTTGGATGAACACCTGTGTCATAGATTTTGATAGCACGATTGTAGGGCTATTGATTGACACATGTGAATTGTAGCAGCAAAATTGTTGCAATCATTGTACCGAACGAAGCAAGGAACTAGAAGGTTTTGCAGAAAGCGTGCAAGTTTTTCTAAGCTTCTTTGAAGGGCATGGGTGAAGCGCCAAACCCAAGTGCAGTACAATTTATTGAAGCTGTTGGAGTTAATTACAGTAAATCCACTGAGGGCGATACCATGCATTCAATGTGCCACGTCTACAAAAGGGTGCAACAACACATATTGCCTCAAGCCTCTGATTGACATAAATACTCCATCCTCCAACATGCTTCCGTGCAAACACATCAAAAAACTACGTTGTGAAGAATGAGCCCACACAAGTGCAATTGCTTAAGAATGCATGGCCCTGTCCACTCCGCCATCCCTCTTCAAAAATTTGCCGATATGCTTCCCCCAAATACAGTAATTCAATGAGTGCGTGTGTGTGCGCGTGTGTAAGGACAAGGGTTTCAATTGTTGCAACCACACAAAGCCTAGAGTTGGAACGTAGATTCTTGCAGTTTGTGCCTAGTGTTGTGCGATGTTGTGTGCCCATTGAAGAAAATCTGCCTCCTTCATTTCGTATGTATTCACAACTGCATTCAAGTCAAAAGGCAGGTATTCATTCAGTCGTGCAGATTGTTTGCCAGAAGGGCATGTTGCGTGGTCCATGTCGACAACATGAGTGATGCCATGTATATTTATATATGCCTTTACACATCGATATTTGTATCAATATTTGCGTAAATGCATTTCTACCCGCAAGTGTCCATATGTATCCATTCGCACCTACGGAACACACTATGTCTTAGGCTGAAGTACTCATTTGCAGACCCAAGCACTTCAAAGTGACATATAAGTTATAAGATCATATCTCGAAGTTAAGTGACCCTTTCAATGTATTAAGTGACCCATTGATATACACCCCTCCCTTTGATATAGGCATAAGTGACCCTTTGATATATAATGCCCCCAAGAAGCTATATCGAGGGTCCATAACTCAAAGGGTCACTTTGAAGTGCCTGGTACATACTACCCTAACTTTAATATGTTTTCATGCTTGTTCAGAGAGGAGTCTAAGGCTTAAGGAGAAAACTTTCAGTATTTACAAGAAGTCTCAACAATGCATGGCACAGTAAATTGAACATGTCTTAGAATAAGGAGGAGGATACATTCTTGACACTGCATTCCTATACATGTTTTTACACATATATTACATGATATGTTACAAAAGTGAAGCCTTATTGAATTTCCCCACTCGTCCTCACCAAATTGCCCACTGTACCACTTACGTCCACGACTGGTTTCTCTCTTTTTCCGTGTTGGATCTCCACCGAGCTGACCCACGATGCTTCATGGCTTCTTCCGTCGCCTATCAGATCGACCGTGTCCGGGTTCTGGCCGCTTTGGGACGGTTTTTGGACGGGGTTTGGACACCCCGGGGTCCAAAAACCGTGGGTTGATCAGATTGACGAACAGAGCAAAAAAATAGAAAAAAAACTTAAACACCTTCTCAACAAAGGGAACTGACGCACTATCGCACTGGAATGCCCCCATTCCAAATCTTTTCACATCTTTTCACTCAACCCGGATGTTCGACCATGGGATGACACCTCCCGGGCACTCAAAACAGAATGTTGCAGAAAGCGTGTTCTTGACTCTCTGTTGGATACTGCACTCCATAACCTTGACATGATGGAGTTGGCCAAACACAAGTTGCTGTTTAGTCACATGCGTTGACGCACACAGGATTGGAAGCCAAAACCCACATTTCAGGTTCCATGTGAACCAGTGGCCGCTTAGCCGTGGTTGCTTTTCAGACGATGTTGAACAACTTCAGTAGCACTTTTTAGTGCCTGATCGATTCCCCAATATAGACTTCCCCAATATAGACACACCACATGATCATCCATGGTTCCATCCAACTTGCGTCCGTCCGAAGCTAAAAAGAGATTACATTTAGAAAATCTGCAGTGATTACTGCATCCAACAAGAAAAGAACCAAAAAGAAACGTAGCAACCGCGTCCCCACACAACCCAGTTCTGGTGGTTATTGCATGGTCAGCACATTGGGCTTTGGGGGGGGGTCGATCAACCACCCGATCTGCCCGCCTCGCGCAGCTGTTGCCATCGGATCTCCGAGGCCGCCAGCGCGGCCGAGTGCCGCTGCCTCACCGGGTGGGTTCACCGGTGGGTTCACAGAGTGCCGCAGCGTTCGCCGAAGGAACGGAGAAGCAAAGGATCCGGAGAAGAAAGGGGGAGGACGGTTGTGTTGACCTCTCCTGGGAGTGTTTGCTCCATCTTTTTTTGCTGTGACTGTAGATGGTAAATAGATGGTGACCCTGTTCTTGGATCTGTAAATTCTGAAAGAAGTTGCTGGGGGAGGGATGTCAAGGAAACTTTGTATTCAAGACTTGAGAAATGGCGGGCTTGTAGAAGAAAAGCAACAAGATCTCAAGGGCAGGAGAAACTGTTCAATGCCTTTGGGGTGGACACCCCGACGACGACAGAACTGGAGCAAGCTTTTCACCACCGGTTTCCAGGGTTTTGGAGTCAAGAGACCAACGATTCAATCGCTGCTGTCGTTTTTCGAGTGAAGAAGGCCTTCGAGTCAAAATGCTTCTTCTTTTGAGGATCTTCTTTCGAGTGCACAGTCTAGTGAGGATAATCAACTCCAACGCTGAGCCCCGAAGAAAGGTTACAAGAAAGGTTACAGTACGCCTCTCTTCTGCATGCTCTTGTCGCAAAGCCTCCTGCCACACAATTTCCAAAAAAGCAACTCATCGCAGTCATCTCAATGCATATCTTGAGTCTTGATCTTGGTTCCACATCCTTCTGGCTGCCAATGGGTTCTCATATACTTTTACATGCAGTTTCTGGCCCAAGAAGCTGAGACATACGCAGTTCCCACGCCTCCAGTCTCGCCAAGGACTCCTCCGTCTGGGCCCGCTCTGCGGCCAAAGCTCCCGGCATCGTCTGGCCGGTTCCCGGTGTCCCCAGGTGCCAGTGCGTCGAACAAACATGGGCAGAACAGCCCCGTGTGGGTATGTGTTTGAAATCCAGGAGTCCCAAAAACAATCTACAGGCGACCACGGTTGTCACCCCCAAAACGATGGGTTTCCTCGAAACGTTCCCTGAAACCAAGTCTGAGACTCACCTTTCAGAAGCCCAATCTTTCCAGACCCTGGTACAACAAACACATGTTCCGTTTTGGAGGCTCAAGAAAACTCCCTGGTACAAGAAACATGTCCAGAATCCTTAGAGCTTCAGCCTCCATGTTGGCCACTTGTTTCCTGGCAAGCTCCTCATGGGCTGAGACTCGCTGATGAGCCTCCCAAGGCAGTTTGGCCTTTGGGTTGTGTCTCAAGCAACTCGATACTGATGATGGTGAAGCATTCCAGACCAACCCAATTCCTCGTGCCTGTCCATGCAAAAGGAAGACGCACTTTTAATACATGGGGGTTGGGCCTGACACAAAACATTTTCTGACATATGTTTGCTTGGAGAATGTTTGAATTCTGCCCAACACCGAAATGGACGAAGTGCTTGGCGCATGCAGCGACTTCTGCATCACCCCACCTCCTCATCCAGCGACTTCTGCAGTTCCGAGAATTGCTTGGCGGCCAAACGCTCGCGAGCGTCACCGGCCTCCCAAAAAGACAACATCCACCAACAGTAAAGATCCGGTGAAGGGACTTCGCAAGCCCTCTGGAGTTAAGTTGTTCGATGGATGTTCAAAGCAAACTCACCAAAAAGGTCACCCCTGCACTGGCGGGAGCAAAAAGTAATCTAAATGCTTGGCTTTCCGTTGCACCCTGCGAATCCTGCTTCCTCCTTGGATTGCACCTTGGTCCTTCAAGTCCATCTCCATCACCAAACCGATAACCACCCAGCACGTCCAACCGCATCTCGGCGCATCGGCGGCAGTCGATGCGCCTGTTGCACTTGGTCGATGCGGCAGGCCAGCTCCTTCAGGCTCAGCTGCGTGCTGCTGACCTGGACTGCTTGCTGATACACAGCTGAAGAAGCACTGATTGAAGTGACATGCTATAGCAGCAGCAGCAGCAGTTCAAGAGATACGGTTGATCCACCGAATCGGATGAATCGGGTTCCTCTTTTCGATGGATACCTGTTCGATCCTTTTCGCCACTTGGATCTCCGGTGTTTCGGTAAGCGAGCTCTGGCGTTCATGGTGAGGCGAACAAGAACGACAGCGAGGGGGGCGGGTGCCTCTGCCTGTCGATCTGCTTTCGCACTGCTCATGGCATCTTGGAGCGTCCGAATCTCCTGCGAACAGAGCCACTCAGGTGACTGAGTCATGGACCCTCTTTTAGGTATCCCTTTTTTGAAACAGTGGATGATGGTTAATAAAGACAGTTCTCAAAAATAGTTATAATCTTTTACCAACTGTTACAGGCCAGGTACTTGAGACACACCCTAACTCATCCATACAAATCAGAGTGTGTCGCTACTCCTTGCACGCGATTTGAACAAAAAAATGATGCGAAGCGAGCACCTCGCAACGGCCAAGAGCTTCACGTGCTCGATGCCTATCCATGTTGCGGCTGAAGGACTGCATGGCGCGAGGACCGGTCGCAGAATGACAACTACATCAGGTCTCTCTGCTGCCATGTCCAAGTGTCCTCATCTTTCACCCTCATGACAATAGAAGAATAGGAACAAGAAGCTACTAGGGGCTCCTGGCCGTACTACTCGTACTACTAGGAGCGATCGGACACTACTAGGAACATGTAGTTACACAGCGAATGATCTCGAACTTCTCCATGTCCCAGTGGAGCTGGCCACGACTCCCGGCGATCAAAGCACGCGATCGCTTTTCGGCCTAACGTCTTCAAGGTCCCCATGAATCTGTGAGAGGCGGCCACCAAGCAAGTGGTATTGCTCTTCTCTCAAAGACCTCATGTGCTCTTGGGACGTGGCTGACTGGGAGGATTTGAGGCATCTTTGGAAGGGAGCTGTATCGATCTAGCCACAATCAAAAGGATCAGCGTTCGCACAAAGCCACTTGCTCTAAAACATCTATATAATATGTCTATGTGTAGCATCTATGTGCCTACCTACTGGAATGGAATTGGTCTGATGCAGAGTAACTGAGTAACAGTAAATGAATCGCTCCTGACTGCTGGGATCGTCCAGATCCGTCGCTTCTCAGCCGCAGGACCGTTCCTCAGCGAGGAAGCCCTCATTCTTCTGGAGCAAGGCCTGAAAAGCGGGGTGGCTGCGGGGTAGCCATCAAGTCCATACATATACGGAGGTCCATATATAGATTCTTGTCTACCATGTGTTCATGGAGCGACAAGGAGTCCTTCCATCGTCGTTCCATGTCTGCCATGTGTACGACCCGTACGGGCACTTTCCGCCCTGCCGAAAGGGCAAAGCCGCCCTGCCGAACAAGTGGGGCCGGGGCACTAAGCTGCACAGGAGAGCTTATGTACAAGTCCGATGGCTGTGTGAGCACGTTTGGCTTTGTTAATTCCGATGCTCACCAACTGGGAAAACAAAGGTTGAAATACATTTATTTACCTTGGAGGGATCGAGAGGATGCACATATCCTTGGGTTGAAGTAGATATTGGCCGCTTAGAATTAGAAACGGCAATAGAATAAAAATACAAACCAAAGGCATCTCCTACTCCACATGGTGCCAGCACCCCGTCCTCAAGCTGCTGCAAGCCCTGTTGGCGACCTGCCGCTGAGACGCCAGCATAGTGGACCAGTGGGCAAGATTTCAAGACCTTTGAGACCAACAGGCGGAAATACTAACTACAATACAATACTACCGCGGATCAAGGGTACTGAGAAGCTTTGAAACAACAAGCAAGATGGAGTGGGCATCATGAGCAAAACAATTGCAGGTCTGACCGGTGGTCAAGTTTTCAAGGCCTTTGAAGATTCATCGCCCAAAGTTGTCTTACAATCCTTGTGAGAACAACACATCAAGTAAAGCTGCACTCCGTCCGCCTTCAGGGATGGCCGCCACTGTTTATAGTTTATACCAAGACATTTGTTCATATTTGGTCCAACCCCCACCAATGCTACAAGCGGATGCATGAATGGCAAGCCTTGGCATTCTTCGTCGATCATTGCACGGACTTTCGGCAATGTCAAGCCGGAGACCTCATGTGGGGGAGTGGTCGCGCTATCGTCGCAGGTTGTTTTTCAAAGCTTCCATCAAAAAAGGATGACGATGCCTGTGCCCACTACAACCACGTTTTTGGACTATGGTGCAAATGACCTCCTGTTGGTTGTTGCTGTTCTGATGGATCTGTATACAGTCCAATCTGCTCTGTGTGTCTGCGTCTGGAAGACCTGAATCATGTGACTGTGTGGCCCTTCAGCAAGCCTTCACAAGGATAATCAAATAGCCTCTTGTTGAGGGACACTGAAAAGAAAGAACGCGAGATGTATTGAAGGATTACAGTACAAGTTCAATCGAAAAAGAAAAAAATATGTTGCGCTTCTTCTAGTGAGACTAACTAACTGTGCCTCTGCAGTTGTGGCGGCGGTTTGCAGCTTCAGCAAGGACTCCTAGACGCCCAAACAGATTCCAAAGTGTTTCACCGGACACATCGCTCAAACCAGTGTCCACTGAGCCACGCACGAGAAAATTCAACTCTTAGACTAAAAAACTCATTCAACAACTCAAAGTTCCGCCAATGGAAGCTGAATCAAAAGGAAGCAACTCATACACTTCTCTTACCACTGCAAATGTACCTACATCTACTTCCATGCAGCTGATGTTCCATGAAAATAACAGGCGTCCCCACCTCCACGGTCGACCTCTCTTCATCCAAGCGACGGAGGAGCTTCGCCTCGAAGAGTCGACCGGGCGCTCCGCCGGCGGAGAGGGTTCCCCTTTTTTTTGCTGCGGACACAGGTCCACCTGACCTTGTCTATTCCAGCCACGACTTGAAAAAAGAAAGAAAACAAAGAAAGACACCTTCAAGGCTGTTCAGGTCGCTCAAGCTGACAGCGTGGCCTCCATCTCCTCCCTGCAGGCCGCCTCCTTGGAGAGCAGCGAGCGTGCCTGGCGAATTCTTCGAACGGCAGGGAGAGAGACGCGCCACACCGTGGCTCTCCGGGTTGCACCATGAAAGGGTTGAGTTTCGCAAGACAACCATTCCTTTCTTTGACTTCAAGTGACTTCACGTGACTTCAAGGCAAAAGCCCGGATTCTGAAGAATCGTCCCATTCGTCCCCTCCACCAATGAGGTCAAAACCTTCTGGTTGATCCGAAAATTCCAGCCTCTGTGAGCTCATCATGACAAATCTGCAGCCCCAGCTCACGTGTCGAAGCCTCCAGCTGTGGCGATGTCTTGAGAATCGAAGCACGCATACACTATACATTCAAAGAAAGAAAAGCCTCCGGTATATACTTATGTTGAGGATCCTACTGGTCCGTTCACTTCAGGCAGTGCCACAACTTCCAAACACCCGCCTCTTCTTTCAGGGAAGCCTGCAAGGAAGAGACGGACAGCAGCCTTGCACTTCGCAGACAGCCACAGTGCACAATGTCTTTCTTGTTTTTACCCCAACTGCCCACTTCATGATCTCCGAATATTTTGGCGTTTGTAGATCTGCCGTCGAGCTGGATCAAAGCCTGTGTTTCCACAGCACCTGTGTTTCCGAAAACAAAAGAAAAATGGATGGTGCTGTGCAGCACAGGAGGGGAAAAGGCGAGGGGTCTTGTTTGACCTCACCCTGGGTGATTGCTTGGAAGAACATGTCCAGACGGCCACGGTGATCCTTGGGGCCCAAGCAGCTGTTCTTCAGTGCTGCGATCTGATCCTCCAGCGCAGCGTCTGATGAATGAGAGTGGAATGAGAGTGGGTCAGTGCAATCCCCAGAGAATCATATATAGGTCTTTTGTATGGATTCCCATCTAAAATGGCAATGGTTGCAATGAGCTTGCAGCACCTACTCTGAACTCACTATCAAGCAAAGAGACTTGGAACAGGCAAAGCCAAACAAAAAATCAAAGTGCCTAACACATATGTGGGTTCGGCACTGAAACAGGTCCACAAGAAAAACTGCTTGTCAGCTGTCAGAACGTTGGAGCTGCTACATCTTTCCTGTGGTCTTTCTGCAACGGTTGTCGAAGGCGTCCTTTTTGTACTTCACCCACGACTTGCTCGAAGCTCTTCAAAGCAGCGTCCAACTGCAGAACGGGAAGAAAAGAAATGTGCGGCCAAACTGTATATATCGTGAAAATATCTACTGTACTGAATGTACCGATTTCTTTGGTCCAACAAAGGATGTGGCTACGCACGGACTGTACGGACCTCTTTCGCTCACTCGTCCACTTTGAAAGAACTGGCCTCGTCACGTCTGGCATTGCTCTCGGATAAGATTGCATCCTTGAGCTGGGTGATGCTTTGAGACAAATCGCGGCCTGCCAGACATGCAACGACACCTCACTCTACATGCCAAACTGGGCAACTGGGGCCATCTGCCTCTTCAAGCACCTTCCAAACCTCCATACAGGTCTTTCTCCCTTCTTGAACGTATTCCTTCCTTCCAGATGGTTGCTGCCTTTCCTCAGACCCCACCCACTCGCAACCTCAGACGAAAATTTGGGTCCCAACCGGTGGGGCACTGATCACCCGCTTCCGTCGCTGCCTTGTGCCGCGATCTTCGCCTTTTCGAAGTTCAGCTCCTTTTCGGCGTTGACGAAAATCAGTTCAGTTCAGGACCCGAACTCGGCGCTTTTTTGGAGCAAAAAGTCACTGAAGATCTGTGGAAAGGTCTATTTGTTCCGTTGGTGTGTTTGCACCGCATACAGTGTATAATATAATTTGCAATTTAATTGAATCAGACTTTTTTGAGGGCATCTAGTCACAGTAGGTAAAAGGATGGTAAATGAACTGTAGGACTGGTTGGCATTCTTCACAGTGGTAAGCTGCTGAGCATCAGAGACCTTTCTTTCTTACACCCGCCTGTGTCAAGCTGCTCATCCTTTGATCCAGAAGAGTGAAGGCATCCTCTCGGGTCACGCCTGCGGTGGCTCACCAGCGGGATGGCTTCCTGTTTTTCACCGGCTGGATGGAGAACAAATCCCGGAAAACGGCTTCAAATAGAAAGAGACCAAAGCCGTGTCTGAGACAAGAGGGTCTCTGAACAAGTCTGAAATCCGAACATATCTGAAGCACGTCGTTGCTCCATTGCTCAGCCGTTTCGGACGCGAGGTGCGGAACGACCAGTGCCGCTGCCAACCCGCTTGCTGGGTGCCGCGGCGCTCGTCATGCAGCATGGCACGGAGGGCCCTCTCCATGCCTCGAGGAGTGACGAACCCAGCGAAGCCCGGGAACCGGTGGGTGGTTTTCACCCAAAAAAAAGACCTAAGCCCTAAGCCAATCACCAATCTGTTTGCAAGGTCTGAGTCTTGACATTCCCTACCAACTGAGTCCCCAGCGGATCTCCAGATCTTCATGAAGCTGAAAATTCTTGTCAGTCACCTGATTCACTGATGGCCATCCGCTCTTCTTCTTACAACACAAAGCAAGATTGCCTTTCGAAAGCTCAACACAAGTGTTCCTTTTTCAAGCACACATCTCCAAAACTTGGCCAAAACCCCTCTACGTGCTTGCTAGTAGATTTGACCTGGCCAATACGCCACACATCTGGGTCACAGCGCACTGCTTGCTCGTGCCTCCACACGGGTCTTTCTCTCCGTATCCAGAGTGCTTCGAATCACGCTACAGCTGTCTTCCTTGGCGAACGCAAACCCGGTGTCCACTTGTTGGTGCCTGTTTCTTGTGTCCTTTGTAAACAAGAAAATCAATGTTTCATGTTCAAATTCCCATCTTCAACACCTCGAATTTGGAGCCCTCCTCAACTCGCACTCCAGTCATGACGGGTCCCTGGGTGTCCCCGGCACGCGAGGAAATTTCCGCATGAAGCTCCTGGCGCATCTCGTGGATGCCCACGCGTAACCTCACGTAAAACGACTCTTCCGACATGGTGCCGACATGGCGGTCGGCGCCGCTACGGTGGACGGGTCGTGGACAGGTCGCCGGTTCTTCTCGGCACGATTCATCGATGGATTCGGAAGAAACCGCTGGAACCCAAGGCACAGCTGATCACTGGGAAACCCCCACGACTTCACTTCCTGCTCAATGCGCTCAGAGAGGGTTTGCACCTTGGATCCGTGAAAAGCACGAGCAGCTCGGCGTGAGGAAGTCACTAAGCTTCTTGCGGACACTTCAATCTCGCTGACATGCCTTTGCAGATCTTTGCGGCCAAGAATGACAAAACGGGGGGAAACTGTGAAGTTCGCCTCGTCTGGTTGTCCTCAATCTCGCGAATTTCACGTGTTCCATCAAGAAAGCTGTTCCGGATGGTGTCTTGTCCTCAGCAAGAAGAGCGCATCAGTGCACTCAGTTTGGGAAGATCCACGCCAGATTGGATGAACAGAGCAAAGGCAACACCCAGAGATGCCGAAGGAAGAAAGCAAAGGCTGCAGCCTCACGAAGAAAGTTTCACTTGCCCTCTTCTGAGGCCATTCACTACTTGCCAGCTCCTTCATTTGCACCTCACGCAAAATGACCAAACACGACAACTTCAAAACCAGGAACATCATCGAAGCCTGGCGGGTGTCTTTCTCATTCTCCAATTCCTTCAAAACCTGACATGCATGGTATCTGCCATCTTGCATCACAAGCACTAGTGACCTACTTCCAGTAGTGGCCAGGCCTTATCCAGCTTGCCAACCACCTCCGCCATCCGTTTTCCCTGGAGTTCTCACGGCAAAGTTCTTTGTTGCACAAAGCAAAGATCCTTGTCAAGCCGAGTGATATCCACAATAATGATTATATATATATATATACAGAAGGGGTGGCCATGGGGCCTGGGTTTTGGTTTTCCATAAATTTTCATAAATATTAGGTAAATGCATCAGTGCCACAATCAAAACCAAAAAACACTGATAAATATGCATAAAGGATAAAAAACACATAAGAAGAAAAAACTAAAAAAACCTTAAGAAAACAAAAAAAACAAAAAAAAACAATTCTGGGAGACTCTTGGCTGGACCCCCCAAAATCAGAATAAACAAAAAACCAAAAAACCTTGGGAAACCCAAAAAAAACCTAAAAAACAAAAAAAAACAATTCTGGGGAAGTCTTGAGGAAAAGGGGGTCCAGCCAAGAGTCTCTGAGAATTGGTCTTTTTGGTTTTTTAGGTGTTTTTGGTTTTCCCAAGGTTTTTTTGTTTTCTGATTCTTCTGATTTTGGGGGGTCCAAGCAAGAGTCTCTTAGAATGTCTTTTTTTGGGGTTTTTTGTTTTCTCAAGGTTTTTTGGTTTAGCATCTGAGCTTACTTCTGACCTCAAGGCATCTGTTCTTTTTGCTTACATCTGAAACCGTCTGAGCTCAACACTTCCTTTGTCCTTGTCCAAATCTCCATATACAAGTCTGAGTGCATTAACTGCTGACTGGTATCAATGCGGTTGCCACTTGCATTTCCAAACAGCTTGACATGCAGTTGCGAGGACACTCTGTCCTTTACATGAAACGGTTGGAAATCTTTGCGAGCGTAATTCTGTGCTTGTAGCTCAAGCGTTTACATCTTATTCTGGCGAACTTCCTAATTTTAATTTCAATTCCTTTCTAATTCAACTCTCATCTAATTTCAATTAGGCTATAGTTATAGTTCAATACAAGTTTAGTTAAAATTCGGTTTTAATTCAGTTCTATCTTAGCTCTAACTCAAATCCAATGTAATTCTACCTAATTCTATTCTAGCTCTAGTCTATTTAGTTTAAGAAAACACATGCTACAAAACCCCGTGTTTTACAGTATTTTTTGCTGTGGAAGTGCTGGGAGCAAGACTAAAACTCTTTTTTGGATTAAATAGTTAGATCTATTTATTGTCAGTAATCACTGGAGATAATATATACATATTAAACATGTTGTATGTACAAGCTTCTAATTCAAGAGCTTCCCTCTAGATCTCTGGGGATGATCATTTCTACAATAAAACCATATATAAGCTTTCATTTCAAAAGCTTTCCCCTGGATCTCTGGAAATGGTCATGTCAATTTAAACAGGCTATATATCAATAAATAAGTCCTTCTTTCAAGAGCTTTCCTTTCATGAAAACACATATACATATATATATATATGGGATATCTACTTTCCCAGAGATCCTGAGGAAAGCTTTGAAAATGCAAGCTCTTGCCCGCATAAATCTAGAAAGCTTTTAACATACAAGGTTTCCAAATAGTTGTTTAAATCTAAACATGATTATCTGCAGAGATCTATAGAGAATCTTTTATAACATAAAAGCGTCTATATACAATCTTTCCAAATCTAAACATAATTATAAGCAGAGATCTAGAGGACAATTGTTAAAACGACCACTTTTATGGCCTGCTTCTTTTCTAATTATCTTGTTCAAAACCATCTGAATGATTGATTGCTGCTTCCAAAACAATAAAATTACCCTGACTCAGGAATACATAATATATTTGTTCATATAGAGTGAGAGCAAGAATAGATATGTGTGTTTATATGGAGAGGGGCTGCCACTGAAGCATTTACCTAAAATTTTGGGGAAACCTAAAACCCAGGCCCCATGACCACCCGCTCTCTATATATACATGTACATATATACTGGGTAAATGAAAGTGGCCTGCATCTCCCTCTCGGTGCTGACGTTCTCCTGGCGCAGGTGTATCTCCATATGATGGACAAGTGTATCTCCATCTTCACTTGGAGTGCCCTCTTCGAATTTTGATCAAAGTTCCCAAAAACAGTGGCTCCTTCAGCTGGAAATGCAGTGGGTGGACCGTCCACTCTCAACTGGGCTCTTTTCACACACTTATTGACATGCGTACTGACTCGAATGCCGTTCGCCACACGGCAACCTAAGAAACCAGAATCCTGAAAAACCAGGCAAGGGGGCCTGAGCACCTTTAGTTAAAGGCCAGAAGTCAAACTCCACGATGCGACGAACCGACAGGTTGACGAAGTGCGCTCATGTCTGCCAAGCTCATTAGCACTTTACTGGAAATTGGGGTCACAGCTTGTTCAAAAGTTCAAGCCATCGCAGGTACGTCACGGTGATCAGCCGTGATATCCGCATGTACTGTGGCCGCTTCGTTGGACCATCGCTCACAGCACATGGATGGTCCCCTTCAATCTGCCGAGAAATACATTCCAACAGGAACCTCGTGACTCCAAAGGTTACACACATACCCGAGGGGGGGCGAAAAATGCTAAGGTCAGGACGCATGTGCATCTGCGCGCGCACGAAAGACAAAAGAATGAAGACATGACAAGGGGACGGGACAGGACAAAGGTGTAGGTGGTTGTGATGAAAGGGAACCAAGTGCACAGGGACAAACAATGAAAACCCACCTCATTGCAAAGACCTGGGCCACCTGAAACCTGGGTTTGAAGTAAATGTAGTTGCGCACGTACACACTAAGGCCGGGACCACTGCGCGCGCAAACGAAAGAAAGGATGAGATGAAAAGACATGAAGACAGGAGGACATGAAAGAAAAGAAGCAAACATATGTGTGCGAAGGGGGAAAAGGATGAGAGGGGAAAACAAAAGAAGGGGACAGAAACCAACGAAACCAAACCTCATCAGAAAACACCTAGGAAAACCTCGCCTCGCTTAAGTGTATACGCTGTGTGTGCACCTAAGTTTGCGACAGGTTCCAATGAGCCCTTGAACAAGCTTTGGTCGCAGCGACCAAGTTGTGGCTTGCCCGAAGACTGCCTACTGCTGACCGCTGCGGTCACCTCATGGCTGCCCGAAGCCTGCCTACTTGTACTCAATAATTCAGCAAGTCTTGGCAAACAACTTTAGCTCTGGTCCCGCAGGCGCAAGGACGAAGACAAACCCCCGTTCAACGGGTCCACAGGGCCACTCTGCGGGGGTCACCCTGGGCTCTCACGAGGAGAGACACACTTATTGACATGCGTACTGACTCGAATGCCGCTCGCCACACGGCAACCTAAGAAACCAGAATCCTGAGGCACCTTTAGTTAAAGGCCAGAAGTCAAACTCCACGATGCGACGAACCGACAGGTTGACGACGTGCGCTCATGTCTGCCAAGCTCATTAGCACTTTACTGGAAATTGGGGTCACAGCTTGTTCAAAAGTTCTAGCCATCGCAGGTACGTCACGGTGATCAGCCGTGATATCCGCATGTACTGTGGCCGCTTCGTTGGACCATCGCTTACAGCACATGGATGGTCCCCTTCAATCTGCCGAGAAATACATTCCAACAGGAACCTTGTGACTCCAAAATTTACACACAAAAAAAATCAAAAATGAAACGGTGGGCAAAACCCAGACACCCCCACCATCCCCCACCCAAACACCCTCGGAGCATTCCGCTTTTTAGGTTTTTTGGACCTCGACCCCTCCCACTGGTTTTTGCGCGTGACAACAAAAAGCAGAGAGAGCAGCCCCTCCTCTACTCGGCTCAACTGACCTTGCAGCGTGGCACTCTCTTGGAAGCGAGAAGCCTCGGTCGTGGTCGCCCCGGCGGGTTCCGGGTCCGTTGTCAACCCAGGAGAATGGCCAAACCTGCAGGTGTTGACACCTTCGTTTGAAGTTCAGTGCTCTTGCACAGGACCTTAGGGTTTTATGACGTTTTATGCGTCCTCACCATTTTGGTTCCTTCAATTGTGCTTGTTTCTCACATCTTTGAGGCACAGTCATGGCAGCAACTGCTCCCCAATAGACTCCAGATATCTGCAGACTCCAAATGGTTCTAAAGCAGCTCACAGGAATTGGAGCCTTTAAATAATCCATCCACTTCCCATCCACTTCGCGCTGAGACTCAGCTTCTCGCTCCGTGTCCCCATCCCTAGCTTTTTTGTCTGCCGGGGAACTCGTTCATCGCTGAGCATCTTCCGGAAGTGGGTTTCCAGCTCAGCGGTCACCATCTGAAAAGCAGCTCAGCAGTCTAATGGCATGAAGCAAATCATGGGGAACAGAGGATGAAATGAGTGTACTACTAGGAGCAAGGACGCTACTAGGGGCTCCTGACCTTACTACTAGGAGCAAGGACGCTTGGACGCTTGGATGTCAAAGACCACAAGGGGATTTGTCCCAAGCAGTAGAGAAAATCGATGAAAATCCATTTGGCTCAAGGCATGCCCCATTTGGGCATCAACTCAGCTTGCCTGGAATTGAACGTATGGCGCACTTTTCCTCGTTTGGAGCTTTCACAAACGAAATCTCTTGCGAAAGCAGGCTTTCAGCACCCATCGCTTGATTGGAGCACGCATCGGTTTTTGCAGCTGATCAACAGTTGATGAACAGCTTGGATCTGCACAACCATCGGGTGCTGACCCTGTTCGAGCCGTCAGCTTATACCGCTTGGAACGCTCTGTTTCCGTGTGCCCTCCCACACCGCATTCCATGCTTCAAGGATCCATCCAAAGGATTGTCCAATCCACTGTCTAAGCTCATCTGGGCCAAAACTTGCTTTACTCAGCTTCCTGCAAAAGCTGAGCAAATTGGAAGTTCTTCAGAATGTTATGAATATAAACTGACAAGCTGCCAGCTACTTCTGCTTTGGTGGTTCTGTCATTTCAGAAGTGTGTGCCCACAACGGCTCGTCGCTGCCCACATGAGAGGCTCGATTCAGGAGCAGGTCTCATCATCGGCGGCCCTTCTTCCTGGGTGGCGGCCAAGTGCAAATATCACAGTGCAAGACCACCTAGATGTGGGTCAAACCATTACCTGGGTTCTTTTCCAAATGAACTAGTAACTAATGCAAAACGTGGACCTACCCCCGTGGCCACATTCATCTCATGTGGTGCTCACTCAACCTGCTGTAAGGGAGTAATTCCTGGCATCATTCATGTGGCCTTCAGAACTACCGCTCTATGCCTCAGAAAAGAGCAAAGCAGGTGCTATTTTTTTCAGAGATGATGTGGGTGTCCTCTCCCGAGGCACACTATTCCCTCTCATTGGCTGCGTCACATGAAAAGCTGTGGCTGGCCGGATCCTGAGCGTGGCACTTGCTCCCCGGCTTTGCGAAGGCCCAGCTCACATCGAGCTTATGATCCTCCACAAAAAGGAAGAAGGGCTGCGGACTGATGGACACTGCGACTCTACGGAGCAGGGGGCAGAACGGCGGGGAACGGATGGCCGTTCCCAAAAAAAAGGTTTCGTCTACCCTATAGAGGATGAAGCTATCTTCAGCTCTCATCCAGTCTTTCTGGAGTCGCCTTCGATTCTAGACTCTAGACATCTCTAGACACCTGGAGGGATCTGCTCCAAGCACTTTAGTTGCATGGTACCTGTTTCTGGTAAACAAAGGATTCCATGATTGTCTTAAGACGCTCCCAGACGTTCGCCACCAAGACGCTCGTCTGCAGAGCCCTAACATCCTGTGGGCCGCTATGTTTGTGCTCGTGCAAATCCCGGAAGACCCTCCAGGTCGGGCAGTCCAGCAGCGTATTGCCATCCATGGATTTGATGGCTACATCGGCCTGCGTCCATGGCAGACCATGTCTATCTGCATGGGTAATACCAGAGAGCCCCCCATACCATCGTCGTGGCGCTGGCCATCCGATGCGTGGGTAATATCCAGTACATACAATGACATACATATATTGTCCCGGAAATGAACTTTTCTGCATCTTCAGGGACCATGAGAAGTCTACGAAATTCTATGCATGCTTCTCAGCATGCCAAGTTTGCCAGTCACAGTTTTTGATAAACCCACACAAACATCGAGGGCCACCACTTCAGCTCAAAGCCAAGGCAACTCCGAACGCCTCCTGCTTGTTCTCGTACTCGATAAATGCGTAGCCCTGAGGCCGAAGTTGGTCCGGAATTGGTTCATGTGACCCCCAAAATGATCGGATGGATTTCCCAAATGATCGGACGGAATAAAATAGATTCTCAAAATCACAGCTACTCCGGGTTCCCCAGATCAAACACCGTCCTTCACGAAGCCGGTACGGCGGTCAAGGTTGAGGTGCCTGGAGAGCGCGTAGCAGCTTGCTTGACAGTGGGGTCCTATCAAAGCTCGCATGTTTTGTCAGGTATATGTCTCTGAGAGCCCGACAAGTTCTTGATGTCGCCGTATTCTGAAAAGGCTTCGAAAATGTCATCCTGTTGCCATCCACAAGTCGTCCAAATTATGGCTCAACTGGCTACACTGCGTCACAGCTGATACATTTGTTTTAGGAGATAGCAAGGAATGGCTTGCTCAACCACCGGCTCAAATGCTCCTCCTGAGCTTCTTCATGGACCCCAGAAACCTGGGGTGCTTCCGTTCATGGACATCAAATCAAAGCAGAGAACTCTCCGTCCGTTGTTGCACGTGTCACGGAAGAAGTTCCTCCCCAGCTGAGTTGCAATTATTCAATAGTTCCAGCAAACCTACACAGCCACAGGCTTTCTGGGGGTGGCTTACATGAAGTCCCCTGGATAGCTGCATCATGAAAACGTGGTTGCACACATCTGAAATGCTCACGACTCGTCTGTGCTGAACTGCTCCACGACTGCACGACTGCTCAGCTGCGAACAATGATCACCCATCCCTCAATGGATCGAGCTGCACCCGTCTCGTCCTCGGGGAGGGCGGCGCATGACGCATCATCCACACATCAAATCACTCTTCTTTTCGGGAAAGACCATCAACACACCAGTGGCCCACCTACAGATGTGAGTCGAGCCAACAAACACAACTACATCATCTCACGAATGATCATCGTTCCTGTCTTGAGGATGTCTCCCTGGTAGAACGAGAAATGAAGTCTTTGCCCCTGTGAGTTGTGAAATCTCATACCCGTGTGCTGGTTTGAAGCATGCTCAAGTCCAGATGGGTCTTTCTTTCCTACTGATCTCACCATTCTCGCACTTTCACTTTGGCAGTTGAAAACAAACAAGACTCAAAAGCTTTTATTTCTGAGCGCGAATGCTTTGCAGCCATCCATGGATGAGAGAATTCGCCAAGGATGTCCGGGAAGGAATGTTGAAGCGAGTATCTGAAGCATCAATGTCGTCAGCTTCAGCAAGGCAAGCTTCAATATAGTCTGCTTCAAACCACTTTACATCTTCTAACTCCTCCGTCAATTTGATTTCAGTACTCACTGGTTTTGCTGTGAAGCCAAGGAGAAGTGATCGTGGGAAAAGCCAGGGCTGAGATGCCACAAAGCAGATTGATTTTGGATCAACCAGAACTCCTGACTCCTCACGCACTTCCCGTATCACACACTCCTCAAGGGTTTCTCCAAACTCCACAAACCCTGCAAGGGCTGAGAACCGTCCTGCAGGCCAGGACGCTTTACGACCCAAAAGGCAACGGTCGCCATCGGTCACCAACACCAGCATGGCCGGATCCACCCGTGGCCGAAAACGACTGCCGCACTGGCAGCACTGGCGCTGGAGGCCCGAGCGCACTGCCTCGGTAGGAGCTCCACACGTCGCGCAGAAGCGCACGGAGCGGTGCCACGCGGACATCCCCGCCGCCACAGCGAGCAGGGCGGCATAGTCCTCCGACGCCAGACGATCCACCACAGACGCGCCAGCGCGGGAGCGAAGCTTGTGCCACTGGGCCGAAGTGGACGAGACAGAGGGGGAGGCGTTGAAGTCTTCCCTCAAGCCGAGATCGGACAAGCTGGGGGCCTGGTCAAAGCAATTTGAGACGTCCAACATCCAAAAGCCCGAGCCCAAGCGATGTGAAGCTTTTCTTTGAAGCTCAGCCAAGGCACTGGACTCCTCAGCTGTTCCCAGCCAAGAGGCCTCACCCATCTGAACCTGCTCGGAGCTTAAAAGCACCGGCTCCAATTCGCCGGTGGCGGTCTCCGAGACGAGTGACATCCCTCGGTAGATCGGTACCATCGAAGCCCCGTGTGGAGTTGCTTCAGATGGTGGAGCTCCGCGCTGGAAACGGCCGTCCGTGTTGAAGGCCACGGCCCTGGGCAAGAAGCTTCGGCCCAAGGAGACACCGGGTGGATGCTTGGAGCGGATGCTTGGAGCGAGCCCAAAGAAGGCTGAAAGCAGCATCCACCTCACCCATCTCGGCACCATGGCTCAGAGCATCTGGCCCCAGGAGGCTGGTTTTCTCAGGAAGACCGGATCAAAGGTGTGAGGGGGCTGTGTGGCACATGGTGATTCGAGACTAGACATGGAGTTGCAAGACAGACCCGGGGATTGATCAAGGCAAGTAGCTTGCTCTGTCAAACGGAGTTAATGCCTCACTGATGCTGAGGTTGCTCATTGTGAGAGTCTTTGTGCATGCTTCACCTCTTTTTGACCATGATCAAGAACCTAAAACCATTCAAAACTTGTGTGAATGTGAGACCTCCCGTTGGACGCCCAAATCCATGTGTTTATGTCATGCAGTATGTTCAGGAAGCAAATTCCTGAAGCGGCCCTCAACGATGATGATAGGACAAAGGCACTAATCAACAAACATTCTTAAGAGGTCTCCAGAAACGTTTGCGTCATGCAAAGTGTCTGTCTGAACCAAAGTCTGGCAGTCCGTTGAGAACAACATATGAGTCTGCCTCCAACTAGGGAGACCGCCTCCAATGGATTTCAGATGCTTTCAGTCTATTCTTCCTTCTACCAAAGTCTTTGGGAGTCCTATTCCAATACACACTTATCGGTCTGTCTGTCAATGTTTGAGCCCCTGGCATCATCGTCATCCAGCCTCTCAAACTTTCCAGCCTTGCAGCCCAGAGACGAAAAAAGGCAAACGACTTGTTTACTGAAGTCGGTGGCTTCAGGAAGCACCTAAGAGCGATGGCCTCCAACCTGATAGCAATGGCCTCCAACCTAATAGCAATGGCCTCCAACCTAAGAGCGATGGCCTCCAACCTAAAGTCGGTACATTCAGGAAGCTTCCACAGATTCCCTGGAAAAAGAAACATACAGTAGACCAAAACCCATTGGTTGGGGGGTCTCCCGGATCTAAAATACCAAGGACGAAGAAGTTCCAATTCATCGCGAGCTGTTCCGATAGCTCAAAGGGCACTTTCCCGAGCACGCTCCCCTGGCCTTTCCCGCATAGCGATCGTCCTCTTCACCACCTCTGCCCTGAGGATCAAATTCCAGGAATTCGACTGTCGAAGAATGTGTCGGAAATGACTGCCCCTAGGGCTCCAACCACCTGCTGAGAAGATGGTTGGGGTGGGATTGGGGGTCTAACCACCTCCTGAGGAGATAGTTGGAGCCCTAGGGTGCAATGTCTGCAATCCCGCCTTCATTCGTCGACCAGTGGGCCGGGATCCCTCCTGTCAAGTGCTCTTCAGCAGTGCAAATCACTCCTTTCTTAGCCACCCTGATTCTTGCATATCAATGAAGTCCTTTCTTATATAAAGAGCACTTGAAATAGATTCAAGTGATGCAAGCTTGGCATTATCATTGCCTTGGACCTTGTGATTACTCCTGAGAAACCATCCCACCAACTTGGGCCTCGGGAACCTCCTCATCGTAGTCCACGTCCATAGCTGATGGCTGGAGAGTGCTTGGTGCTCGATGTGCTCTTGAGCCGCAAATGCATCGAGGAGTTCTCCCAACCGCAAAGCATCTCAAAAAAAGGAGATCTCAAGGGCGGGGAAAAGTCATGAAAGTTCGCCCAGAGCCTACAGTATCTGTCTCCAAATTCACCTGCAAAATGCAGTCCTCCCGAAACTCCTGCCTCGCGAATCTGTTGCTCCCTCTGAAGCGTGAGATCTCTGTTCCGGCTCCTGTTTGTTGGCGCATCCGGGAGCTTGACCCAGCATGTCCTTCACCATGTGGAATGCCCCAAAAAAATGTAGCTTGCACTACCTCATACTATCTCAATAAATGCAAATGCCCCTCGTTCATCACCCGCGCATCATGTGCGCGCGCGGTTCTCTCACGGAGATTTGGCACCCTCCGAGTTCCGAACTCTTCAGCCACGGCTCCAAGAGTGCGAAGCCTAAGACTCCCAAAACCGGCAAAAAAAAAAAGGAAAGCACGACCATCCACAGGTGACTCACGACACTCCAAGTGAGGAGGGAAAAAAAGAAAAAAGGAGTAGGACGAGACCCATGGGACCCGGAAACCACCCCATCCACAGGGCAAAGGTGCTGCCAGGATGTCCACGGCTGGGGAACTACCACCAACTCAACGGCGACGCTTGGGCGCGGCCGAACAGCCTCCCCAGAAGCGGCACCAGACCCACCCGAAACAGCTGTCCCGCCATGGTTCCCATCGCTGAACCCCTTTTCATCAACTCGGTGGGAAGCGGACCGGTCTCCTTCTTTCTGAAGCGCTGTGGTGAATGTAGCACACACAGAAGCCACCAAAAAGCTCCAAAGCCAGCTAGTGGCATCCTTTGGATCCTAGGAATATCACAGGAATAAGAATGAATCGGGTAAGTATCGCATGCCTTGGTCTGCACAAGGCCATGTATGATGATATACTTTACGGAAAGGATTTGAGGAAGCTTGAGCATTGGAACTGCTGCGCCATCTGAAGCTGAGATCTTGCAACTTCTCCATAGGCTAAAGTCATTTCAAGGAAACTTCCACAGATCAAGGCCAGGTAACTCCGAAAGCTCTCCCAATTGCAGGGCCTCCCGTGCACTCTTGACAAGTGTCGAATGCTGCTCTTCCGACGAATGTTTGCCAGCTGCCATTCAAAGGTCCCAAAGAAGCCGTTCCCTTTTTGCGACAGTGAAGCGCTAATGAAAAGCTTCCGGCTTCCCTGGCCTCCTGCACAGAAGTTCGGATTTCCGCGGTGCCCTCTCGCCTCAGCAAGTCAAACTATCAATCAAGACAGGATGGACAGGATCAGTTTGATTGATGACCAAGAACTCACTCCGCTCCATTTGTTAGGTGCTCAAGTGAATGAAGAACTCAAAAATGTACATGCTCACCATGGAAGAATCTCAAAAATCTATCCCACTCTTTTGCGAAATCTCTGGCAAATCCAACCCCACGTCAAGGTCCCCCGTCTGAGTAGCTGGACGATTCAGTGGCCAGGTGCTCGACCCCGCGAATTCGATCTTCTGCCCAGAGTTCCAACTCCTGCGACCAACGAACCCACGCGTTCCCCGAGTGGAAAACCGAACAAGAACCACTGGCCATAGTCCTATTGCTGCTCACCTCAAATCTGTGATCCAACATCCGCTCTTTCACTGTACATCACCCGAACCTCACTGACTGGGGATGCCTCCAACTTTCACCCACATCTAGACCAGCTACACCTCCCTCGTGGCCCATCCTCATTTGCCATCTCCCTAGTTCAGCTAAATCATCACCCCACATCCTCTTGCAACCTCTTGCATCCTCCCCTCCCCTTCCACCCGTGCGGCATCGCGGGCGCCTTGTGCCGCCGCTGCGCCTCGGCTTTGTCCGTCAAGCGCTCACGGCGCTCCTCCGCCAAGAGCCGAAGCGCCTGACGAACATCTGCGGCGGCGAAGGCGAAAAAATGAGGACAAGAAAGGAGACTGCGTGTGTGTGTGTGTGTGTGTGTGTCACCCTTGGAGTCATAGGGATGCTTTTGCAGTTGTTCATTTTACAGCAGGGGTGCCAGGGATGCACACTGGACTGGCACCAAAGAAGACGCCAGT